CTCTACCAGAAAGGTAATGACTTAATGCTTTTGGAGTTGGAACTCTGTATTTGGTCCTCTTGAGTGCTGCTGAATGGACTCAGACCCGTTGCCAAGTCTCCCGGCCCTCCATGCCAGGGCCTCCTTAGCTTCTGGAGCTAGACACAGAGCTGAAGATGCTGGCCTCAGGCACTTGAGAGTGCTCCAAATCTCCAAGCACTTTGACTGAAATCATTAAACACTTCATTATATTTTTTAGACATAAAGCCCAGAGGAAATACCCAATGAGAAAAAAAAAATTGTAGCAAAAGAATTCTTCCAACCAAATTACCCTACAAATGGCAAACCACTGAGGTGACAAGTATTATGTGTATTACTCTGCTTTCTGCAAGGGTAAAGACACCTTAAGTGTAGAGATAGCTTCATGTATTGTCACTTACACATTACTGTTAGAGGCAAAGCCAAGATTATACATGCATTTCATTTTCTAGTGCAAAAGGCATTTTGATTAATTAAAATATTACAAAGCTCCAGTAGGAGGACTGCTTTTGCAGGCTGAATTTCCTTGCTGACTTTTAGGGGAGCTGGGTAGAAATCACAGGTAGGATGTGTAGCTGAGGGGTATCCTGTACCCCTCCACTGTGGTGGGCAAACATGGGGCTGGGATGCTGGGCCTAGTGGGTGAAGTACAGGAGTTATGCAGTTAGGAAGACCCTTTCTGCCCTCTGCTTATGATAGACATCCTTTTCTAATCTAGAAGCTTCTGTTTATTCAATGTGTCCCAAAATAGAATAACCTGATCCTTTTGATTTAATGAGAATGGTGACAGTATAACCCTTCTTACAGGCTCATGCCCTTTAATTTATTAACAACTACTTAGTGAGATCTAATATGACATGAGCTGTGCTGGCTTGGTTAAAAGTTAAAATCAGGGCTGGATGAGTGGCTCAGTTGGTTAAGAGTGTGAACTCTGAGCAACAGCGTTGCTGGTTCAATTCCCACATGGGCCAGTGAGCTATGCCTGAGCTGAGCTGCCACTGAGCTGGTGAGAGCGCGTGCTCTTAACAGCAAGTTTGCCGGTTCAACTCCTGCATGTGATGGTGGACTATGCCCCCCCACCCCCCCGCAACTAGATTGAAAGCTGTGACTGGACTTAGCGCTGAGCTTGCGCCCTCCACAACTAAGATTGAAGGACAACAACTTGACTTGGAGCTGATGAGTCCTGGAAAAACACAATGTTCCCCTTCCTCAATTCCTCAACACTGTCCCCCTCCCCAATTCCCCCCCAAAAAAAACTTTAAAAAAAAAGTTAAAATCAGTGTGTTCACATTTGATTAAAATATATGCAAAAATTTTAAGTGAATATTTTCAAAAGCCTAATTTTATGCACAGAATCTAAAATAATGCAAACCACCCCACATTTTAAAAGTCTGTCAAGAGCCACCAAAATTCAAAGCTGGCAGGCTAAGTGCATTTTAACAGTGTTCAGAGCATGTTGCACGTTGGCACCCTTTTCCCCAGGAAACAGATGCCCCTCCCTGCGTTGGCAGCACCCTGTGGGTTCCCACTCTCATTTCCTTCCACTGGGACTTCCGCAAATAATGACCACTGCGCCGTCAGCCCAGAACCACTTGGGTGTGAAATCCGAACGTGGCCCTGAAGATCCTGAGTTTAAGTTGAAATGGCCAATCTAGCCACACTGGCTTTAGAAATTTTTATTTCCCCATATTCACTATTGTTACAATTTAAAATATATTTACATCTTGTAACAGTAATGTAATATCTAACATGGAATGAACACTGGAGCTGTTCTAGTCCCAACAGCTCACTGACTTATAGTACTATTGGTAACCTATTTCAAAGATGAGAAACCTTGATACATAGAAGTTAAGTATCTCATCCAAGGTCACTCAGCAACTATGTGGGAACCAGGATTCACAACCAGGCAAGCTGGTGTGGACCTCCCCCTTTCCCTGGTATCACAGTCCTCGGAGGCAAGACTGTCCTTGCATTCTTTCAGCTAGAGTTGATTCTACCCCAAAACCATCAGCTTTGGAAGAAATTAGACTTGGTAAATGATACAAAAAGGAACAACCACCACCATGAAACACTCTGTTACTATTGGAGAATAAGTCTTGCACTGTGTTGATTTCTAATTATGCAACTTCTCTTCGTTGAACATTAATCCTGACCTCAAGTTTAGAGGGGCACCTACCATTTAGTTAGTGGGTATGGTAAGCTAAGACCACAATAAGTCCTTATGCACATTCTCCTTCCCCCTCCCAGTAGTTCTGCTGTTGGGTATTCTCAACTCCAGTCATGTGTTAGGGATGGCAGACTGGTTAGCCAAACATCCTACTCAGGGACTCCCTCTCTAACCTAACTCAAGTCTTTGTGAACAGGAAAAGTATTTTCAGGCTTTCCATCTCATTAGGTGAAACTGATATTAATAAAAATGATTTTCATGTGCAGCATGTAACTGAACTGGCAAGCATTGCCCAAAACCTGAGATAAACAAGCCCTTAACCCCTGAGAACTTGACACCAGGTAAGGATCTGTGGCCTAGCAAGTGGTTGCAGACCTTTCCCCACTGCCCATGGCATAAAGGGCCTATTCCCCACTAAAGTCTCTTTAGCCTTTGAGAATAGATTTCACCTCCATTCAAACATGATTTGATAAGGACACAGTTAACAGAATTCCAAAGCCATAGCTAGCATAGAACCAGCCTGAGTTCAAGTGTGCAGCATAAAGCGAAGGCTCCCACCTTTAGTTATAACCTAAAGGTCATCTTGCTGCGTGGACTAACTGAAGTCCCAATCTTCAGAGCCCAGAACCATAAGAAGCAGTGGACTCAGGAACTTCAGTGCTGTTCACTGCTGGCAACCACACCTTAGGTTTTTTTTCCAAGTGGATGCCTCAGCAGCCAAGGCAATTTGCTTCCAAAATTACAGTGTGGAAAATTTTCTTGCTTGGGAGCACAATGGTTTTCTTACATACCTTCAGCTTTTATTTGTGAATCACAGGAATCTGATGACCGTCACTCAACATCTCTGTACCTCCAAAACACAGGATTCATTAATTGCGTCTTTTCAGAGTCTTACACATTTTTGGAAACGATACATAATTGATTTACCGAGGGCATGGATTTGAGATATATATGGTTTGTTGTTGTTGTTGTTTTGTTTTTCATTTTTCTTTTGAAGTCTATGCTTTTTCAGCAAAAACAACTGATTGACTGATCCAGTGATTCTTTTCCAGAATAAAGCCCCACTTTGGCTCAAATCTTAATCCCTCAGAGCACATAGCTTTAACTCTTGGTTTCTCAGGAAAACCCTCAGTGATTCTGCCTGGCTGTGACTGAAGACTTGCTCTGTGACATTCTCACCCTGGGTTTCTAAGGCTCGTTTTGTACATGCCCCTTGTCCAACCTGACAATTTCATTAAAGAACATTCACATTTGTAAACATACCGGCTTTTCAAAGAAGATGTGAAGTTTCCCTTCAGAACCTGCAGCCTTAAGCCTTACACTGTGGGCTAATCTACACGAAGGAGATAACCTATTTACATACTAAAAAGGTCAGTGCTGGACAATCAGCATTTAAAGAGGAATTTGCTGCTGCTTGCAACTGGAGCACAAGAATTTGTGAGAAGGCCACAATTCTGCTATCTCTTTATCTGTGTAGACAGCAAGCATCAGTAAATATGCAGGATGTCTGTGCCAAGCAGCCAGGGTAGTGATGGAACGCCTCCTTCACAGCTTAGAAACCCTCTGATCACTGTCTGGTATGAGACTAGGTGACCATGCAAAGTGCTGGTTAGCCTCACTTACTAGAAACTGTAATTCATTTGAGGTGGAAATATTAGCATAATAGCTTTTCAGATTCTTAGTGAAACAAATTATCATAATAGACTTTAAATTATGTGACTGCTGCTTACTTAACATGTCATTTGCATTAGGAAAGGTAGACTTTTAGAGGGCTTAAAACATTTCCTTTTGTGGCCTTTCTCTTCAGAGTCTTAAAATATCAACAACTATTTTGCTAATGTGTGTTGAGAGAATCTTAAAAGATGTCATAAAGGCATGAGCATCCTATGAAATGGCTATAATGTTTTTGTTCCTTACCCATTTGTACATTCAAAGCAAAATTAGAAGAGAATTGAGAGATCCATTGCCCCACATAAATGTTGAATATACACAAGAGTAAAATCACTCTTGAAGATGGAAAACTACACAAAAGCTGGGGAGAATTATGAGGCAACAGTGAAGCCTTCTTCCTTGGTGACAGCAGCCAGTTTTAGGCAAGCAGCAGCCATTGCTTTTCGTGTCACAAAACCGAGGCACCTTCAGAGCTTCTGCTCTGAAAAGAGGGCACACATTTAAGAGTGCCTGTGTTAGGGCACTCGCATCTCAGCTACTGCTGCTTTCTGTAAGTCTCGGTGAGGTCATCGGGGCTTGCTGGGAGCTACAGCAGCAGCTGCCGCCCAGGTTTTCACGGGGATCCTGTGCTGCATTCTATGTTCAGTACCCCTCAGGGGACCTATGAAGCCAGATGTGGCCCAGGGCCCATTCCTTCTTTGGAGACGCGTGAAGCGGCTTCCAGGAAGAGCACATGCACATTCCAGGTGGCTCCGTGTGTCCATGCGCTTAACAGCCCCCTTCAGCAAGGCTCTCTGCTCCTCTGACTCCTGATTTAGAGAGAGAAGCCAGTGACAGTGATAAGCGAGCTCTTTGTTGGCATCAAACTGTGTCATAAAGATTACTTGAGCTTGCTTAGCAAATAGCCACGATTTTCAGGATTTACATAACAGCTGGTTTTCATGACCATTGTTTTGAAACAGAACAGTGGTATTGGCTGTGCTCGGGGGGACTCCTGGCAATGAAGTTGTGTGACCAAAAGACCAGGGTTTCCACTGTCTGCACTTTATCCAACCTGACTCTAGACCTCTGGAATGAGAGGCTGAACTGTATGATGCTCACTAATTCGCATTGTTGGCGCTTCCCTCTCCTGCCTCTCTTTCAGAATACCCTGCTGAGCAGACGCAGCAGGCGCTGCACCAGTCAGTCTTCTTGTCATCCTTGTCGGCCCACCCTTTCTGGGACCTTCCCCTCAGTAGGGAGCAGCACTGCAAGCTGCTTCCAGGCGTGGCTGACATCCAGGCAGGCAAGGTGGCCCCATGGACAGTGGATGAGGTGAGCAGAGCTGCTCTGGGGCCCTGGGATGGAATGCCCAGCTGCTGAGAATTTCTTAAGCACTGAATCCACTGTATCACATTTAAGAGGGAAAGACAGGCATGATTTTGAGGAAATTAAGAAATTCCAGTTGGTTTTGCCCTCCTCTCTCTAACTTTATTCCAGCACCCACTACCTCTGTGCTCCGTGGCCATCAGCCTTGGGCTCATTTAGGCAGAGGGGCCAAGCCTCCAATCCAGCATCACAGACTGAATTTGAGGAAGCACAAATGTCTAAGCATCTCAGCCTTGAGTCCTGGCAGCTCTTGTCCTGAGCGGCATCTTCTCTGGCAGAGTGCCCACCCCAGGGTGTTCTGTGCCCAGAGCTCCCTTAGCCCAGTGAGCTCCGGATCCTGTATTCTCACTACTCAGCAGCTCTGTGCTGCCCATTTGTCCATACAAAGTCACGTGTCATTGGTCAACCTTATATTTCTTTTTAAAGTAAATTAGATCTAAACACACTATAAGATGCAATATAGAGAAAAAATAGATCTGATTTTAATATAAACATGCCTTACGACTTTGTTTTTGTTTATTTTTTAATTGTTTTTTTTTAAAGATTTTTATTGGGGAATTAGACCAGTGATGGGGAATTGGGGGAAGGGGAACAGACAAGTTGCTGTCATTTTGTTCTTCAGTCTAGTTGTGGAGGACGTTGCTTCACTGGCCCAAGTGGGCACCATCATTGCGCTCTTCCCGGGCGAGGCAGATCAGTCGCCGGCTTCTGGACGGCTGCTCACTGCGGCTTCTGGCCACTCACGCTGGCTGCTGGCTACTCGCTGTAGCCCATGGCAACCCACTGCCACAGGGGCTGCAGCCTACGCCGTCGCCGGCGATTCATGGCAGCCCAGCTCCAGGTTGAGCTGTTGTTCAGCATCTTAGCTGTAGAGGGCAGTGTCACTGGTCCTCATATGTGGGATCCGAACCGGGGCCCTCTGGCATCCCAAGCCAGTTCTTAACCATCGCGCCACTCGGCCGGCCCACGACTTTGGTTTTTATTAAGGATCAGGTAAGTCCATTGCTTACTGCAGTGCTGTAAAAAAGTTTCATATTTAAAACAATTTTCTTTGAAGGAAGATTTCTTCAACTAACATTCCTTTGACAAAGGTTTTGTTTTCCCTAATCAGGTCTTATTTATTTTTATTAATTGAAGGAAATCCTTGGGTCACTCCAAGGAGTTAAATTATTGTAGTTACAAAGTGTTCATCGAGCACTTACTGCATTCAATTTAACTTAATCTTGCTTTAGGTGTTACTTTTGAGCCGAGAACAAAGGGCAGGTGGGAAGGTCACCCAGAGGCTGGAGGTTTGGAGAGGACCCTGCTCCCTCCTCCTTCTCCCAAGCACCTCACAGAATCTGCCTGGTGGATTCCCCCTGCCGAGCATTGGTCCACATGGAACAGAGAGGCCAACATCTTTTCCCCAGCGCACCCTGCAGGCACACCTCTCCTTCCACTGCTGGTAACGGAGAATTGACCGAACGTGCCAGGAGCTGGCTGGCTGTTTGGGGGAATGACTAAATGTGATCCTGCTCCTTCAAGAGTATGCAGAGTCTGCCCTGGGTTATGAATTTTTACCAGTTTACAAAGTGTGCATCAGCTTCATGATGGAGCCAACAGAATTAAAAGCTGTGGTGTCTATAATCAAATCATGTACGGTTTTGCCCTTGCAACAATATTGCATGTACTGAGGAGTTCGGCTGAGAACACAATAGCAAGTTATTTGTTCTGACTTTCAAGCCATTCACCTGAAGTTCTACCTTTTTTTAAGACTGCAAGTGGCTCCTCTTCCCTCCCTTGTTGCTGTGCTCCTGGTTCCTTAAATCGTCACTGTCCTGCTCAGAAAGAGGTCCTGGGGAAGTCCAGCCCCAGCCCTGCATGTGTGTACAGAGCAACTGTGTCCTGGGAGAAGAGAGCATGGTAGAGAAGGGAGAATTCTAGGTGCGTCTCTGCCCAACTTAAAACAATCCCTAGCTCTCCCACAACAGCTTCAGCATGCCACTGAGACCTGCATGGACAGTCCTTGCCTGCCTTTCTGGCCTCACCTTTCACACACCCCGACATGGCCCTCCCACTCTGGCATACAGAGTCATGCCCCTCCCCAGTCCCTGCGTGTTGTTCTCATTCTTGCACAGTTGCTACCACTGCCTCAAATACCTGCTCCCACTCTGTCTGCTGCCACCACCAGCCATCAGTTCAGGGCTCACCTCCTGTAGGAACCTGTAGGCTGGGTCAGACATACTCTTTGTGCTCCCAGGTCATCTGAGAGTCTTCTGTCACTGCACCTTCAGTCACTTGTCTGACCCCTGACCAGATGAGAAGAAACCTTATTTCACTCACTTGTATCTTGAGAACCTCTCAGTACACCTGGCACTTAGTAGATAACATAGTAAATGTTTGTTGAATGACAAGGACATCATTAGGTGGATTTTGAAACCAAAATGAAATATATCTAAGCAGAAGAAAGAAGGGAAGCCATTCCAGTTCCCAATTCCCAAAACAAGGGAACAATAGGAGGTTGCATGGAAGTGAGTATGACATATGCAAGGACGGCAGATACACAACGCATGCTTTACTAACATTAATGATAGTGAACAATATTAATATAATGATAATAAGACATGTAGTCTTATTTGCCCATTTTACAGATAGGAAAACTGAGGCACCAGCAACTAACCTCTTAAGGCTGCATAGTGAGATCCAGGTGCTGAGCCAACCACACACGCTGTGGACCTGGGCACAGAGAACAATGACATGAGATGGGGAAGATGGGCCACGTCTGAGACCAGGCACTGGGTATGAATGTTAATTGGTGGACAGAATGAGCCACCTTAGATTCTTATGTAGAAAGTCACTGTGTGAAGGTGAGAATAGCAATGATCTACAAAAAGAGTAAGAGTGACGAGAGGGAGATGACCAGAAGTCATCGCGGTTACTGAGCTCCTGGTGTGAAATAACCAGGGCCTGGACTGGGTGCTGCCATGAGAAGAACCACCCCAATTCAGTAGACATTTTAAAATCAAAAGCTACTGCACAGGGGAATAGATCAGATACAGAGATGAATAAGTGAAATGAGCCAAATGTGATTCCTTTAAGAATCTCATCACTACACAGTTTAGAACTTAATTAGGATAATAATGTGTGAGAGCTATAAGGCCCTAGAGTTCATCTGAAAGAAGGGGAAAATAGTGGTGCTGTCAAAAGAAATGAAACTTTGGAAAAGGATCCACTTTAGGGGCAGAAGGATAAGATGATGAATTTACTATGGGATACTTCAAGTTAGAGTTCCCTGCAGATTACACCACTGAACATGGAACAAGTATTCCAGTAGGCAGAAATATGAGATAGGAGTGAGCACTCACCAAGGCAGTGCTCATCCAGAGGAGTTACAAGGATAGAGATCAGCGGGACCGAGTTAGGAAGTGCAGGAGGAGATTCCCAGTCAAAATAGCAGATTAGGCAAATGCTGTGTTTATCACCTCCCACGTGCACATCAAAATTACAACTAAACTACAGAACAACCATNATTGCTCCTTCCACTACCACCTCCCACTGTTGGAGTTAACATAGAATTAAACCATTTGTTTCTTTGTGCACAGTAGTGTTTTCATGTGTGTTATATTCATATGTGTATAAAGATGGGACGGCCTTTCAATGTGTGAATGTCAATCCAAACACAGCTTGTTCTTCCTGTAACTAACTGTGAAGAGTCAGAATAAGAAGTAACCAGGGAGGGAGCACCCACTTTGAAAAGAGTGACTCCAGTCCTTGGTCAAGTTGACTATTAGTGTTCATTCAACTATGGTCTCACTTTTACAAGTAAAGGAAAACAATCTTGCAAAGGATAAAAAATACATGCTGGGTAATTGCTTTTAGTGTTCAATCTAAAGAAGTTAATTAATGATGTCTCTCAAGCTGTGTGAAGCAGATATTAAACTAAAAGCTTACCCTTTAGACATCAAAAAATATTCTGCACACTAAGTCTTTCACTGGATGACTAATATATCAAAAGTTAGTATGGATTTTTTCTGCATTTTTGTTAAAATAAAACCGGGGGACATCTAATTCTAGAGTATCAAATTGAGGAGTTAGTTACATTTCATATCACAGACAATTCCCAGCCTTTTCAGTCCTGAGTATATTTGGCAAACGAGTCCACAGGATGGAAACTCATTGTTTTCACTGGCACAGACTAAGTTAGCATTTGCCACTGCATTATTTTTCTCTGCAGTAGAATTCTTCAGCTGGCCCAACAGTCACATCAGATATTGAGCAAGTGTACTATTTTGTACCATGTGTCAGTTCTGTGCTACCCCATGGGGATGTGAGGATGAATTTGAAATGACTGCCCTTGAATTTACACTCCACTAATAGAGATGGCTAAGTAGACAGACAATTTCAATATAAGGTAGCAAGTGGTGGGGGTCCTACAGGAGCCGCCCTGAGGAGGCATGACTCACCCCCTGATGGGCTGGGGAGGGCTGTGGACAGTGATGAGGCCTGAGGGACTCTGTGCCAGGGAGCCCCTAGCATCTAGGTCTGAGAATCTGATGTATAGACACCTGGGATTGGAGACTTCTTAAAAAGGGTATTTCACTAAAAACCTGCCCTTAGAAATAAAAGCTGGGGACTAACCCTCTTCACAGAGCAGGAAACTGAGTCCCACTCTAGGACGTGTGTATTATTTGCCACTTTCCCTGGTGACTAAATGACTTATTCCTTCAGTATCATGTTACGTTTGGCAGTCAACCCCTTAGAAAATGCCTGTATAGAGGAAGCAAGGCCAGGGACACCAGGAAGGCTGAGTCCCACAGGCCAGCAAGCATGAAGTGGGTAGAGAAGTGCCCTGAGGACCGGAGGACATGGGGGCAGCCTCTGAAGGAGAGAGGAAACAAGCTCAAGTTCCTGAGGTGGGGCTAGGGAAGAGAGACAGAAAAGTGCAGGGGCAGAAATGGAAAACTCCA